GACATAACAACCCACCAATCCCATCGGCCACCGCTAACGAAATGGTAACCACTCAAACTTTGCCGACATCGGAATTCCGACGGAATTAGTTCCGTCGGTATGGGCTGACCACTCAAACTTTGCCGACATCGGAAAAATCYGATTTCCGTCGTTATTCCGTCGGAAAGTCGTCGGAAATTACAACAGCTTATTTCCGTTGGAAATCCGTCGTCTTATCCCAACGGATTTCCGACGGAATACCGACGGTTTCCATGTCCGTCGGAAATCCATCACAATAAACCGACGGATTTCCGACGGATTCATTTTGCTCGGAAATCCGTCGGGATGCCGTCGAAAATTTCCGACGGAAATTACGTCCGTCGGAATAATGCTTGTTTTCTTGTAGTGGGTCAGGGAGTATGAATCAGAGTTCAACTGCCTTGGGAGGTTCGCTGGAACCAACCTCACCCCGTGCAGATCATCAAAAAGTTCCTTCGGGGACTCTGAGTAGAGATCCGCACCAGGTTGGAGATCCTCACCTTCTACTCCATGACCGAGGTTAGAGATCCTCACCTTCTACTCCATGACAGGCGTAGAAGAGGAGAGTAAGCAACCTCGGTCCTCCACCAAGAGCAAGGAGGCAGACAGTGGGAAGCGCAAGGCCGAAGAGAGATCTTCTTGATACCCGCCATGTGCCACTTGTGGACGAATCCACACATGTCCATGCAAGGGGCCTGGTAGGTGTTTCCGATGTGGACAAATGGGCCATTACGCACCTGCTTGCACTCAGGCACTAGGAGGCAGAATGACATGCTTTAGCTGTGGAAGGATGGGACATATGGCCAAGGATTGTACGGAGATGATACCTGCCAACGCTGAGAGGGACCCAGCTGGACAGAGGCCCCTACCACCCCCACCAAAGCGCCAGGAGGTGTTTCCCCGAGTACACGTGTTGGGAGAACACGAAGAGCTGGAGCAGTAAACCACCTACAATTTCACCACCTACAATCTTTTGGCGTTGGTTTTCTTTTAAAATATTTCAAAGGAGGGTGGTCCTTGCTTTTTGTTTAATAAACGGTGTTTTGGTTCATCACGCCTTCGTGCTCCCTCTCGGCCTGATGATTCTATACCAACACTGTTCACCACCCCATACCTTCTTTCCATAAACCCGAAACCAACCAGGACATACGAAGAGATCAACCATTCAATGGAAAATCTCTACTAGGAACACCACGCTCGGATCCAAGGAAGGATCCATTTCAAAGGGGGGAGAATTTGTAACATCCCAGGACAAGGTATAGGATTTTTAGGAACTTAGAATAATTTACAGAGGTTCAAAGAATGTTGTAGGAGGGAGGAAATGGTTTTTAGGCAATGGAAACCTATGGACCGGCCCGCGAAAAGGTAAACGGGCCTTCTACAATTAAAAGAAAAAATGAAACCATAATTTTCCCTTAAAGAAGAAGGGAAAAACGTGGTGAAGAAGGGAGGCTAGTGGGCTTGGCCCGTGTAGTAAGGAGGTGGAGAAAAATAAGAAAGTGAATATTCTCTATGAGCATTTTCGTGGGGTATAAATAGGGAGTTAGGGAACTCATATCTTACACACCAAAATCATTTTTCTCTTCAAGAGCCAAAGGGAAACGCTTAGGAAGGGAGCATGAGAAGGAACTCAGCACACCAGCCCCGCAGTAGAGAAGGTTTACGGTTGAGGTAAGGCGCGATCCATACCTAATCCTTCCTTTCCTGCCTTTATTATTATTGTTTTCATAGGGTGTTTTAGTAGTATGGGGTCATAGGCTAGGTAGTGGTCGAGATAACTCGATCCMGATAAGGGATCTGGATGTGAGGCTCGACAAGTGTAGGGTAGTGGCCGACTTCCACTCGACTACGGTCGAGCACGAGAAGGATCTCTTGGATGGCGAGGGGCTGCGATACGAAAACGATGAGGGATCGTGTCACGTAACGGTAGGCACCCGCTCTGGTAACGGTAGCACTTGCCTAGTGGAAAGAGAACATCGGTATGGCCTCGGGGTGCCTCGATGACGCCTTGACAGAATGCTAGCACAAGGTAGCGTATCACGGAATGGGAGGTGCTATGCTATGATAAGGCAGCGAGTCACGCCAGATGAAGGTACAATGTCGCATCACGATAAGAGATCGTGCCGCATCAGCATGGTATCGTGTTGCATCTCGAGAGGACCCGATATGGTTCGCTGACGCCTCAACAACGAGCAGTGAAGTATTGGCGTTAGGGGCAATCATGCCGCAACTTGATAGAGTATCGAGGTGGGCATGGTGGCAAGGTTTAGAGATAGGCAGCAAGGGCGTATTGGCTGGAAACCTAATACATATCCGACATAAGCTGTACCATGGATTCGCAGGACCTTGGTAGAGAGACCAAGGCGGCCTGGGTCCGCATTACACGAGACCAGACTGGCAGGCTAAGGCTTGACCAAACGGTGCAGTGGCAGAGCATCCGGTCGGACCGTAGAGGGTCTGACTATGGACTCGTAGGTGAAGGTAGGCATATAGCTTGATAAGTTATGTAGACCTATTCACGTTGGGCTATTGGTTAGGATACACGCGCTAAGGGTATTCCAGGCGTGGGATTCGACCTTAGTCTCGAGGAAGCTTGGCATTGTTCCGACCAAAGCCGAGGGTGACTCGTTGTTTGGTGATTGTGGGAAAAAGCTCCGTAGAGAGTTTATGCCCCGGATCACATTTCATAACGTTAGGTTTGTTTAGGAATTGAGTCTTGCATTGGCAAAGCTATACCCTTTCCCAAGGAGTTACCTTGGGCCAAATGAGAAATTAGTCCAGGAAGCTGAAAGGTAGAAAGACTAACTGATCATTAAACCTTGGAAATAGAGCTATGGTTGAGCTACCGCTCCAGGAAATTAAGTTCTACCCGATGGTTCGCTTATTTGTAGGGTCTGACAGTCTAGTAGAGATTGTTGAGAGTCGGGCAGGAAGCTGCTAGGATGACCTAATGGTTATGCTAGTGCTACCTTAGTTAACCCCTCGCATGGTCGTGAGTAAGGTCTAGCAAGAGAAGAGTCAGAGAGGTTTGACGAACTCAAGTTAGATGGCTTGCAACCAAGGGGATAGAGGATAGACATGGTATCGCTTGGACTGTCTGCAATACAAGTTCGTGTCATGAGCTATCCACAATTAATGGATAATCTTATGTGTGAATTTTTTTACAGGGACGGCTACCGTATGGCCATAGATGTATCATGGGTAACGAATTGGGAAAGCCATGCTTACCTGGGGCCGACCATACGGGGCAAAAGTATTGTTTGAAATGCTTCGGCTATTGCTTGAGAACGTAGAAGAGTGGATTAGGTTAAAATGGAGTAGAGAAATGATTGTGAACCTTAGGAGAGTCTAGAGTGCTAATCCATACGAATTGGTAGGATAGTAGGTTCACAATGGCACTGTTAATAATTATATAGGGGTGGTTGTATGGGCAGCCGTCGCCGACTTGTTTGTGTTTTGCCTGAAAAAGTGGCATGAAGACCTGGCAGTCTTGAGGGGGCTGGCCGGGAGGGCCGGGGATGGTCAAAGTGGTGAAAGTTCACCGACGGGCAACTACGTTGGGCCCAAGGCCAAGAGTGTGTGTGGGCCCGAGGCCAAGAGTGTGTGTGGGCCCGAGGCCAAGAGTGTGCGTGAAAGTACTATGACTGTGTCTGGTGGGACACCTTCATACTACCAAGAGTTGGAAACTAGGAGGTAGCCGGTGGGCTTGCCTAGTTACGAGTGTGTGTGGTGAAAACTAGCAAGCGGTGGTCTTGCTAGTTACAAGTGTGTGGTAAAAGCTAGCAAGCGGTGGGCTTGCCTAGCTGCTACCGAGTGTTGTGGCACATGGTGCTAAGGCATCATGTGGGGGTAATAGTTTTCAAGGGTAGTTAGGTTGTATTAGGTCGTGAGACGAAGTAGACCGTGTTACTGAGTATTCAATACTCACCCCTTACCAGGCTTGTAGGATAGGAGATCTGGTTAGGTGGCTCATAGGTTGCGGCAAAGCAGGATGATGCGATAGATGCGGTAGAGGCTTTCCCAAGGTGTGGTAGTTTTAGAGTTCCATGCATTGTAATTTCACCGCACAATGTAATAAAGAAATTTTAGAGTAATGAGATAACTGATTTGACAATATTTTGCGGTGGGATTCATAGTCCCTGATGCGGGTGTTACA